GAAACCAGCTCTGCTCATCACCTGCAGAGTACCATCCCAAAAGTAAAGTGTGCTGGTAGCAGCCTCATGCTGAGGGGCTGTTTTTCAGCGGCAGGGACTGAGGGACTCGTCAGAGTAGAAGAAAAGTTCAATGCACCAAAATATTGAGATAGCCTTAATGAAAACCCAGACCAGGGCATTCAGAACCTCAGACTGGGCAGAAGGTTCACCTTCCAACAGGACAATGAACCTAAACCTAAACACAGCAAGAGTGGCTTATAGACAACTCTGTAAATGTCCCTGAGTGGCTCAGCCACAGCTGGGATTGAACCCAATCAAATATTTCTGCAGAAACCTGAAAATGTGCGCCTGCCCCCATCCAACCTTACAGAGCTTGAGAGGTGAAGAGGTGAGGAGAAGAATGGTAAAGTAAATGTCTGTTTATTTATAGATGTTTTTATTTTTACTTAAACCATGCGGAAAAAATATATATAATTTTTTTTTTCTTTCATTCTTGTTTGTAATCCTCTCAGGACTGTATTGTTTTAAATAAGTCATATTGAACAAATCTCTTCAAGACCATGTGGTATGTTTTTTTGTGTCTCAGTTCATCTCTGTTGATCTTCCCCATCAGTTGTTTTATTTTGATCCCCGCATTAAAACGGCTCAGTTTCCAGCATGGTTCTGCCAACTGGCTTGGTGCAGTCCGTGTTTACTGAAGCGGTTGGTCTAATTTGTGTTCCCTGTCATTCCCTAACCCACTTCCTCTCGCATCCGCACCCCACTCTGCTGGATATCACTGACTCCAAAGTGGCTTTCAGTGGAGGCAGGTGCCCTGCATTACCCCTCATTATGTCAGTGTATCTCCAGCGCTCAAACAGCTCCATTCTCTTAATCTAATTCAGGGTGCTGTAATTTGCATTCCTCTGGCTGGGCGCTAGACGGCAACCATCCAAGATCCTTAACAAGCTTGCGGAGATGCTTAAGTGCCTTCTGATAGAGTAATAATTCCTGTGATTGACAGTTGTTTGAGAAATACGCCACATTTATACCCGTGTTCCTGGCTAAGTGCTGCTTTCTTTTGATGCCTGTTATGCATACTTTTGCAAGTGCACCTGTTGCAATTCTTATTCACCTTGATGAAAAGACCTGCTTAGACTAGTATGAATTTCATGCTGGTCTTTATTTTTATTTATTTATTTTTTTTGTCTGGTTCTGGTCCATTCATACAGAATTCTATAGAATTGGTCCAAAGTCAGAGTTGTAAATGCTGGGGGAAAAAAATTATTTTTCCAAAAAATTTGTATGTATGAAAATTGTATAATATCCAAGGTACACATTTCTAGTAATTGTGCAGTTAATTCTCATATTCAAATTACAAAGAAAATATAAGATAAAGATGTTTTTTGAACATCACCTTTTAAAAGAATCAAAAAGATACTTTTAAAAACAACAATGGAAAAAAATACAAAAATCATTTTTCAAGTTGAAATTTAGGGGTTAGGGTTCGGGAAAGCCACCTCCCAATTGAAAGTACCCAATAAATGATGATTTAAACATTATTAAATATATTTTAAATATTGTTTGTTTCAATACATAATAGAAGGATCTTAGTAAACATCTGAAGATCTGAATACTTAAATACTTTTTAAATGTGTTTTTGGTTGTGGGAATGGCCCATATACAGTATATATATAAGAAGTTAGATTTTATATATAAAATAATATTTTAGTTTATTTTTCTGTTAGCTAACATATTTAACTACAATTCAACATGTCTTCCACTTTTTTTACGTTCTCACGCAGATTTTTTCTTACTGGTTTTGTTGTTTTTCCAAGTGATGTTTTTGTCTTTTGAATTTTGAGCATCTAGTCCTCTATCCAGGTTTATGCTTACCATATATATTTAAATTATTTTTATTTTTTTTGCCAGTTTTACTGCAAGCAGTAGCAAACTGTTTTGTACAAAGGCCCTGAAGGGCAAAGTAAAACATTTCTGAAGTTTCTCCTTGAGTCAAGTTCTTACATTATTTATTTTTCTGTTGTGTGTAGCAGCAAAAATAGGCAAGAAAAAAAATTCAATGATTTTTCCTTTTCTTTGCTTTGATTTTTCATCCCCCTTTGATGTGGGGGATGTGATTGATGTGGGGCCCCATATATACAAGATGTCCTGGAAGGGCAATGCATTATTTTTTTGAAAGAAGCATCAGTATATTTTCATAAGTCAAATATACTGTTTATGTAGATTGTACATTTGTCTGCTCTAATGAGCTGGTGTGTGTGTGTGTGTGTGTGTGTGTTGGTGATGATCTGATGTGTTTGTCTGTGTCTCCTGCAGCTGAATCTCAGGGCCGGCGAAGGGAGCTGCTCCACAGCGAGGTGAGAAGAGAATTTAAATTGTATTTATTTACAGAGTTATATTATATCACACTTCACACTTCTCTAGTAAGTTTCGTCTGTGTGTGAAGACAGTAGCGCAAATCCGTGAATGAATGTTCAGAAGTGAAATAAACTTCAACGGAATAAAGTTGAATGGAATTTAATTGAAATAAAGT